TAAGTGGAGACAGCGGAGTTTGGGGGAATAGGGCAGGGAGGGCTAGAGATGATGTCGTCATTTGGAAATTATAAAAAATAATACAAATTTGGTTATCTTCTCATATAATTCATTTGAGGGCATGGAGGTTAAAGGATTATTTTTTTTTTAATCCCTAACTTAGACTTTTAATGTTAAAAACCAAAATGTAAGTCTTGCATAATTCAACTTTTTCTTGGACAAAGTGGTTAACTGGATAATTAGTAACTCTATGATTAAAAACATAGCAAGCAAGGGAAACCATATTTAAAGAAGAGGGAGGAGGCAGTCTTTAATGAGACTTTAAGATTACTTTCTCTCAGAATTCACTTCACTGAAAATTTTGAAGAAGAAATTGCAGGAGAATAAAAGTCTTGTAAAAGATAAAGGCTCTCAAGATGTTTCATTGAGGGCCTGGAAGAATTCCCAACTTAGGTCAGACACAGTTCTTCTGAGAAGAAGGGGAGAAAACAGCCCGATTTTTTTTGTTCCCCACATAAAAAGTCACAATTTTAAAAGTAGTTTTTAAGATTTCTCTATAAAAAGAAAATTTGTAAAAAGGTGCAGACTGTTTCTTCCTTATCCCAACCCTAAAAGTTTTTTGTTTTGTTTTCTTAAACTTTCTTTAGTCTTCCAGAGGCAAACTGTGGTGCAGTTATTTTAATTTCTTTTATTATAGTGCAGCCATTATATGATAGCCATATACTGCATCTGTATTTTTTAAAACTTTTTTTTTTTTTTTTTTTTTTTTAAATCTTGGACTACTTGACAATGAAACTGCAATGATCAGATATTCAAAGTGTGTCTTTCACAGGTGAACCAAATCTACCTCAGACAGAAAGGTTTTCTGTTTGAACGAATATTTTGCTCAGGCTATCTGTTGGATGCTTTCCTTTTTATACTAACATCAGAAATTATTTGCACTTCCCACTGGAACATGAATGCAAAAAATCCTGAAAAAAAGCAAGATTCACTCTTCCCTGAGTGTTACTCTGGCACCAGTGTTTGGTTTCTCCACTGATGGATTGTCTGCTCACACCAGCAACGCTTTTGAAACACTGAAGTCAGAACACTTCAGTGTGATGTCTGAGGTCTTCACAAAGAGAGGTAGGATACAAGTTAGTCCAGTATCAGCTATTTAGTTGAAGTGTACACAGCACGTGTCTTCCAGGCTGGCCTGTATTACAGGCTGGAGGATGTTCATGTTTGGGCAGACCTCTCACCTGTCTCATGTGGAGTAGGTTAGGATTTTGAGTGGTAATCTATTCTCTTCTCTTGTCCAAGGCAGGATCAGCTCTCTTGATGTGCTTTCTGACAGATGTTTGTCTGACCTGTTGATAAAGACTTCAGAGATTCTTCAGGCAGTCTACTTCCCTTTTCTGAGGTTTAGGACTACCTCCGCTGCCTTAAAATGTTTCTGTTACCTGCTCTGTAAAGTTGTGTTTAGCAGCAGTATCCTTCTGATCAGTTTGCTATCAGTGTCTTCTCTCTTAAAGCAACTCCTGCCCAGTCTCAGCTTTATGTTTTCCTCATCTGAAAACACATTTCCTTGGAATGGAGGATAGGGTAGAACATTTTATTTCACCCCTTTAGGCTCTTTATGCTGTCTGTGCCATCTTATAAAAATTGATTATTTTAGTAGTTTTTGTTTTGGCTTGGAAAGCAGAGGAAATTTACACCGCAGAAGCCATGCCATACATTACTCCACAAAGAAAAAGTAATTCTTACCTGAAGTTTGTTTCTAGGCTGGGGTTTTTTTGTTTTTGTTTTGTGTTTTTTTTGTTGGTGTTGGTTTTGGTTTTTGTTGTGGGTTTTTTTTTGGGGGGGGGGGGGGGGGGTGGTTTTCTGGTGTTTTGCTTTTTTTCTTAAATCATCCACTCTTCTCAATCTGTGTAAAGGGGAGTTCAGGAAAAGTTTCCTTTGGTTCAGGAAAAACTCAAAAAACTCAAAACTCAAAAAAATCTCCAAACTGTACATGTTTTGGCTACTAGACTCAAGAATAGTATTACATGGGTAGGCTTTGATTTGAGTGTCTCTGCTTGGCTGAGAAGGTGAAACTAGACTCTCTCTAGGTTAAAGCTTGCTGATCTGGAATTTATGTGGTGGCTTAGCTCCTCTTGTAAAGCACATTAACATCTGAAGTTTGGCCTGTGTTACAGCTTCAGGGTCTGGTGATTGCCTTGCTATTCTCCTTTGCTTAAATAGGAGTGTTCTCGCTCATCTTGTAATACAAGTCAGAGAGATGAATTGTACAGACAGATGGCTTGAAACAGACAGGTTATTACAATGATAGTCCTTCTGTATGTAGTACATATGGATTCTGTGAGCTGCCATTCTCTCCTGCTATTTTCATGTCCTTTGCCACCTGGATTCTCAATTGACTGAGACACAACTAGGCACACACAAAGGGCTTTTTCTTCCTTCTTGACACATGCAAACCCTACCTCAGTTACAGAAGAACAGACACTGCTCCTGAAAGAAATCTGATTTGTTGTGTGTGGGCATATATGGACCCCAGAAGAGGAATTAATATAGCTGCTATAATTCATGTTGAGTAAGTAGTTGTTTACTCTTGGGCTTGACTTGGCATGATTTGTGGTGGTATGACATGGCGTTCCCCCAAGCTCCCTTCTATTACCTGCATTCCTAGTGCTTTTTAAAAATTGATTAGGGTTTTTTTAAAATAGTTGTTTAAAACAATAGTTTAGGTTTTATAGGTTGTGAAAAAACCTCTGAAAATGTGGACTCAGTGCACATCAATACAAGAATGATTGTCTCAAATTAGAGAGGGCCTAAAAAAGGTATTCTGAGAGATGCGTTAAATTCCTGTTCAAGTCAACAAAAGCAGCTCAGTTATCTAATCAAGATAACTATGAATATTAGTCTTCCTACCTATTTCATCCATCTTTGAAGAAGTAGCATGGAATTGATCTCATGTCCTACAAGCTGTTCTGAATGACTGTTCACTTCAGCATGGTTTGTATCAATTAAGAAAAGAGATTGCTGCTTCCCATCCTTTCAGGCCAGTGTTTAAATTCCAGTCTGGAAACCATTACTAAAAACTGTGGTGGAATGTGTCAGGGTATTCAGCTTTCCTGTGGAGCCACCTAAATACCTCCAGAAACCCTGTTTTAGAACTGTGTGTGCAGTCAGAGACTGATTTATTTAGCGCTGATATTTAAGTTTTGTAGAGAGGGGTCTGGAGATTTTGCTTTTATTTTGTGCAGCTGAGTAGGTTCTAAAGCTTATAGCTTTCATTGAGTTAAATAATGAAGACTATGTCTCATTCTCTTGGAGTTACTCGTTTATTCAGGTTTAATGAAGCATTTGCTTAATAAGTATGTTATTTAAAATGTATTGCATGTTTACACATTTACTAGCTTTAATGTGTTCTTAAGTGTTACCTCTTTAATAATTACTTTTTAATGCTCTTGTATTTAATTCCCTAGCTACCTTTTTCTTTAAAAACCTGAATGAAACTAAAGCAAGCAAGAGGACAGTGGCTTTGTAAGACCTCTGCCAAGATATATGTGAGGAAAGCTTACTCACAGCATTTACTTTTAGGCTGCCTGTGAAAAATCAAATCTTAGAAGGCCAGGTTGGAAGCTGAGGTTCCATACAAGTCAAGTGCTGGGAGTTTCTAATTGCTCCCTGGAGACACCTAAATTAGATGTCTGAAATGGTCTCCATAAATACACCATCCTATGTCCCTGTTCTGTGTCTGCCAGCCTTTCAGTGTGAGGGATCAGATGTTTCTTCACGGTGGTATGACAAAGGGTCATGTTCCTGCCAAGTTTCATTAGACTATAACAAACTGAGGAAATGAAATAAAGCATTTTACCATAAACTTTCTGAAAACAAGTAAATTGATATTTTTAAAATGTATATTTAAATATATATATATATATATAAACTATACTGCCCATGCATACAAATATTGTTGATGAGTGTACTTGTAGGAATTCCACTTAAGAGCAGTAGACCATTTTGTCCCTTATATGTTGCTGGAGGTTTTTTTCATTAGAAACTGTTGTATATACTGTAGATATCCACTGACTTCTGTTGTTAATACGCTGTGAAACTTATTCCCATTTTCAAGCTCGTAGAGATTACAAAGTTCTAACGAAGTGGTGAATGTTTTAAGTATGATGCACAGTTATTTGTGATGTGAACCTCAGTCTTCCTTCTTTTTTGCACTGTGTGTATTTCCAACTACAAAACAAGATATGACTACAGACAATGCAGAAGAGTCTTTTCTGTATCTTAGAAACACAAGTAAACACCCGTGAAGTTTCCCTTGTTGTGGAACAGAACAGCTGTGTACTTTACATTTTGTAAGATGCATCTGATGTTCCAGTCCAATTTCAGGCTGAGCAACGTGCAGTACTTTCTGAAGAGAATGGCCACATTAAATGGCAGGAACGCGACTGTAAAATACACATTATATCTGTTTCGGTCTGCGTGTTACTAGTGACAGGTGCTCAATGGTTGTCAGCATCCTTGTCAGCACAGAGACTCCTCTGACATTAAAGTCACCAGCTCAGTCCTGATGCTGCGCAGCTCTATTGGCAGTTCCATCAGGCTGCAGCCGATCTGCGAATGTCAGAGCCTCTGCTGCTGTTCTGGTATGTTGCCAGCCCTCTTTGTTTTTGGGCTGGCCTTGCCTGTTGTTTGAGCTTGCCATACTTCTTCAGCAGCTTTCCTTTGGGAAATGAGCAGATAGGTCATGGGTGTGTAGGTATCTTCAGGGCAATGCAAAACCACATCCAAAGTGACTTGTGTAAAGGTTCATAACGATTACCGTTGCTTTAAGCCAATCGATGGGTAGAGTACCCAGGGACTCATTAAGTGGCATTTGTGGTGTCTGTAACAGAGTTTTGAGCTGTATTTCAGGAAATGTGGTGACAGCCTTTAATGTCTAATTGACCTCTTCTCTTTGTTTCGCTTTCTGTATTTCCTTCTGATGTGTTCCCCTGTGGCAGCAAACAGCCCTGCTCAGTATTCTGAACTTCTGCTCGGAGCTGCAGCACCTCAGCCTGGGCAGCTGCGTCATGGTGAGTACTTACAGCATGTCGGGGAGGGGGCGTGTGTGGGGGTGTGTGCAGGCTTGCTTTGGAACTAGACTTAGGTTTATGTTTCCTAAAGACATGTTAGATCATAGAATCATAGAAT